CTCCTTGGGAACCCCCAGGAAACTGGGGACACCCCCACACACATTTTTCGGACCCTCCCGAGTCGCATGCAGCTATGGGGGGGGGGGGGGGGGGGGGGCGTGGAGTGCCCTTGTGGGGCTGCCACCCGCCCCAGCGTTGGGCCTGGCACCGGTGAGACATCAAGCTCCAACAGGGTAGGTTTAGATTGAACATTAGGAAAGAATTTTTCACCGAAAGAGTGATAGGGCACTGGAACAGGGAAGAAGGGGGCCGGCCCCGGCCGTGCCTACCGACGGGGCGGTGCTGGCTTTGTGCAGCGCCGAGCACTCCTGGGTAGATGGTTGGACTCGATGATCCCAAGGGTCTCTTCCAACCTAGACGATTCTATGATTCTACGACACGCTTCATCCCCCCTGAACCAGCCCTGCCACATCCTGGCCCGCAGCCAGTTTTGTCACTCGCCACCCCTGCAGCGTGCCAGGCGCCAGGACGCGGGGATCCCAGCACAGGGTAGACCTGTTCACTGGGTGTCCCAGTGTCCTCGGGGAGCTGGGATGCTTTTAGCAACCCCGCTCCGTCCCCACAGCAGCCTGTGCAGGATGGCACCCGTCTCTCCCAGGGGAGGGATCACTCCCCCACCGTCCCCAGCCTGGGTTCGGGGACACGTTCATCCGGAGCGCTCGTGCACCGGGGGCCCTGCTCGCTGCCAGCTCCCCCCGCTGCACACCAGAGTCCTCAAGCTGTGCTGCCAGTGCTCACCCACACATACACAGTGTCCCCGCTCCCTGCTCGCCAGGCTCACATGCTTCCATTATCCTCGGTGCGGTGCCAAGGCACACAACCGCTCCCTCCATCCCCAGCTTCCCTGTTCCCCATGGCTCCTTTCCACCGCCCAGCTGCACGCCGGGGTGACAGGACGTGTGGCCTCTGAACGGGGGCGGCCCCTCCTCAACAGTGCCATTTCCCAACCTGCTGGCACCCGAAACGTGTCTGCAATGCCCTGGCCCTCTGCTTGCAGCTCAGCCACGTGTGGGGCACCCCCAGCAGCCCGTGGGGACACGCTGGGTCCCTGCCAGAGGGGCAGGCGGTAACAGCATCCCACGGGGGGATCTCAGTCCGGGCAGGTTGTAGTGATGCTGTGCTGACTTCAACGGGTGCTGGTCACAGCCGCACCCCTCCTCGTCTGCCCCGTTTCCTGCTGCCACGTCTCCACCGCAGGCAGCGTTCCCCCCGGCACGTCTCCCCCCGGGATGCCAGCTCCCACAGGGCCCTGGGGGTCGGCTCTGCCCGGGACACTCTGGCTGTCGGGGATGGCCCATCCCCCGGGTAGAGACACTTCTGCCTCCCATCAGCTCTCCCCCAGCCCCCTCTCTCCCTCTCTCTCTGCTCACCTCACCCCCCCTGCCCCCCTCCCACATCACGATGCTACAGCAATTTCACGTGGCTGCCAGCAAAACCGCTCCGGGCACCACCCGGTTTAAAACAACCTGGCAATAAAAGGCAGCCAATTCCCGTGCCTGCAGCAGCCCCCGCACGGCCCCGCTGGCAGCAATTCGGGTCCCAGAAGGGGGGGTCACACAGGGGCAGGGCTGGAACTCCACAGGCTCTCTTTGCCCCCAAGCATCCTGACCCCCTCCTCAGGGTTGCTGAGAGCAGGGGAACGCCTGGAGGCCTCTGGCTCAGCCCCGCGGGGCTCCTGGGACAGCAGGCAGGGTGTTATCCATCTGCTGAAAGGCGATGGGGAAAAAAACCCTCGTCCCCTCCCGCTGGGCCATTGCTAATAATGAAGTGCGGGGGGGGGGGAACGGAGCCGAGCGACCTCCGAGTCACATTCAGGGCTATAAAAGGAAGCCGGGTCTCCAGCACGGCGCCTCTTCCACAAAAGCAACCGGAGGATGAGGGGGCTGCGAGCGGAGCTGAGAAATAGCTGCCAGGCAGCGGGAGAGGAGCCTTTAGCGCTGAGCGAAGTGCGAGGTGCGCATATGCTCTCTGTGTTTCTGCACATCTCTGTCTTCATGAAACCTGCCCGAAACTGTGTCATCTATTTTGAACGGTGCAGAGAAATACTCTGATCTGCCTCCGCCAGCCCTGGCTGCGGTTCAGGCACCGGTAAGTGGCTGGCGTACAGGTGGTCAAACCCAAAACCTGCATGATGGAGAGACAGGAGCAGGGCTACTGGACCAACATCTCCCTCTGGCCAACCACAGTGAGGGACATGATGGGTCCTGGGAACTCCTCTGGAGCAGCACAGCATGTGCCCAAGCCCACCTGCAACCTTCATTCCAGATGCCAGCGCTGGAGAGGCCATTGGGAGCTCTTGGGTAGCACGTCCCTACATGGCCCTGGGGTGAGGACAGGCCCTGAGCTGGGGAGGACACGCTGGCTCTGCCTGTGCCTTGGGTGATGCAAAGCAGCAGGGCCTGATCCTCACCACCCCACACTGCCACCTCCACCCCTTCCTCAGGAAGCAGACCCCTCGCACCCCCATCTGCAGGACTCCAGGCTCCTCACCCAGCTCCAGAGAAGCACGGAGAGCAGACGGCACCAGCTCTCTCCAGAACCCCATCCCACTGCCCCTACACCATACATGACCCCCGCGCTTGGCTCTGATGCTTTTGTCTCCCTCATCCTGGTGCTCCTCCCCGGAGATGCCATGTCCTTGGGTCTGCTCGGCTTCCTGAGATGGCGACAGCTTCTGTCTGGGGACGTCTGCAGGCACCCAGCAAAGCAATTTCTTCACGAAGCACCAGGCATGGGACAAGGACAGAAGGGGCCAGGAAATATGGAGGGCCTGATGCCAGCGCTGGTGACGGGGCTGAACAGAGGGGTACCGGCTGCTTGGCTGGGTCTGCCCAGCTTGAGGAGGCA